TATTTAAATGATAAATTACAAGTATTAAAACAATGCAATTAGTATGCTTGAAGCATAAACAGTATGACAGTATGAATGTTTCATCATTTGAGAGATAAAAATATACAGAGAGGCTATGGATAAAAACATATTAAATTGATCATAAATAAAATAAATGATAAATTATTAAAAAGTAAAAAATTATTAAATATAAATAAAATGCAATTATTATGCTTGATACATAAACAATATGACAAGAGTGGTTTAATCTTTTGACAGATAAAAAAGCTGGAAGGCTTTTGATAACAAAAATATGAATTATTCAAATAATAATAAAATTATTACATATTTCAGTTCTTAATTCTAAAACAAAACAATGCCATTGTAATGTTTGATACATTAACGGTAGGACAAGAGAGCGATTTATTCTTTTTAGTCTCCAACACAAAATCAGTTGGTTCACTCATTGCCACATTCACAAATAAGAGCATCCTGTTACTTGGTTTCAGTATGCTTTCTTTTCCAATTAGTAATCCAAAGCCCATCTCATGTCGTTAGCTGTAAAACCCTATTCAGTGATGGGTTCTTAATTGCGAAGCTCGTTGCTTCAGACATGCAGCTTCTTAGCATAAATGCACTATTAATGGCACTGTGAGGCTTGTCTGTTTTACAGTTTGCCCAGTCAGTTTGATGCAATAGGATTCAATAACAATCAGCCTGACGTCAACTCTTTGGCATTCATTCTGAGCGCTGGTTAAAAGGCTTTGCCGTCTCTGAATTATTTAACAGTGGATTCAAGTGTGTGAAGAAAGTGCAGTAGAAAGCAACATAGTGCTTCAGAAAACACATCAGCATCTTGTGAATTTGGCTATAGATCCAGTTCAATTGAAAAAACAGTCTGTACCTGCAAAATCACAGTGGTGTATCCGTCTTTTCTCAAGGTCTGGGTTTGTTCTTCTGTTGTAATGAACAGGCATGGACCCAGTGTTTGCGAGAGCTCGTATCGAGGTGGGTGTTAGGTGACTGGGCGCATTGACAGCCATTTTGGAGGCGATAGTGGCGGCGTAAGATGGTGGTGGTGTCAGATTGAGAAGCAGTTCCTTCTGTCTGTCAGGACTGCCAGGTTCTGAAGTGGGAGGCGAGGGGGGAAGATCGGGCATTTTGAGCTGCGAGTGGGCCTGACCCTGAGGATGCACAAAGTGACCCGGGCCGAGAGGGAAGTCGGTGGCGGGCATGCCACAGTATGGCTTGGCAGCTGTCTGTTGGGTCGCTAAGTGCAGGTCGTGGAAAGTAGGCATCTGTGAGGGCACAGAGTGAGCGTGAGGGTGGGAGTGTGAATCGGCTTGATGGGGGATGTCCAGCTCCGAGTTGAGGAGCTGGAAGAGCGGCTCATCCTGTGGGATGTCAAAGCCTTGCATCTCCTGCTTGACAAAGACCCCAGAGTTATCGTCCATGGGATTGATTTCAGAACCCGAAGTGGAATTCGAGTTAAAGATGCTGGTGAAATCGGGCAGCGCGGATGGAGCGGGGCCAGTTGAGCTCACCGGACACTCGGGATGAGAGAAAGGCGCCGCTACAGGTTCAGTTTTGACATGGCTGGGGACTGAAGGCCGTGCTGGCCGGCACATTCCCGTTCTTAGGTAAGCAATGTCGGGGAGGAAGACATTCATGTTGATGCTGTAGGGGGACCCGTGATCGTCCCCAAAAAACTGGTCCATTACAGAGATGCTCTCTCGTCTTGACTTCTTTGGGTCGGGGAGAGCCACAGGTTGTGGAGACAGATATTTATCCATCTCTAGTTTAGCCTAGAGAGCAAAAGAGAGAAGCATAAAATTGTAAATGCAGTTGTAAAGGCCATTAAAGGCAAACAAGATAAACAGATTTCAGAATAATAACTGCTGGAATATTGCACACGCTGCTTCTGTCAGCAAAGCTGCCAGGATCTCCTGGGACTGCTTGTGTTGGCCGAGCACAAACACAGTATACATACAATTTTAGAAAAGCTTGCAAGAGCGCAAATATTCACTTACTGTTACAACAATGGCCAACATGCCTGCTTACTCAGCAAAGATAACTTGGCTCGGAGTAAAACTATATGGACTACTGAACACAACACTTAAATCATCTTACAACATAAATATAAACATATATAACACACACACACACATATATATATATATATAAATCTAATCTCTCTCTCTCTCTCTCTCTCTCTCTCTCTCTCTATATATATATATATATATATATACACACACACTAAATCTATCATATACATCTAGCAATAAACCGATTTATCGGCCAGGCTGAGTATTTAGGAGATATTTTCTTTGTTTCCACTTCAATTGAGGATGCTTTGGACTATAATAATGGTAATAGAAATCAATTAACCTTGAATTCATAATAATAATAATAAAAGAGAGAAACTTAAAAGTTTTTAGTAATATATGGACAGGCAAGCATGTTGGAATGGGTAAAAGTAAATATATACATCTAGTGATTTATTTATTCACCAATTTATCGGGTAAGTAAATGGCTGATATTTGGCAATTTTGAAGTAACCGATCATTTCTGCTGGACGATTAACAGACAGGTCTTTAAATCTTATTAACTAATAATAAATCATTTCTATTATTTTTTTCCCCTGTGAATTTTCAGTAAATGTGGTGTAACATTCATGTTCATCTCATTTGCTGTCATTGAATGTATTATGTTTGCAGTATATCAGCACTACCAACATGAATGTCTGAATGAAAGTTTGATTTTGTACTAGAAATTTATGGGTAGATATTTTACCTGCAAAGCCAATTTATAAAACCTAGAAATCAGAACTATGTTTTACCACCTGATCTGCGATCTTGTCTATATTGAGAGCATGAATCGGTTGTGTTGCTGTATTGAGCAGTCAGGGGTAAAGCATTTATCAAGTCTTCTTCGATATGTCTCTGCTACATTCCGCCTTAGACTGTAAAACAGCGCTCATACCACAAGCTCAAAACAGACTTGCTGACAGGTGGAAAGCATGCTGGAGAGATTGCTCAGCCTTTCCATATTGCCACCCAATTATCATTAAACCGTAATCAGCAGAAAATAGTAAATCAAGACTCATTAATTACTTCCTGACAGTAATATCTATAGAGTCACTAGAGGAATAAACATCAGTGGAAATGAAAAGACTCACACACATATACAGTACATGCATACATAGACACTCGGAATGCCAGAGCTCTTTATGCGGCTGCTACACATAGCGATTTCTGGATTTAGATCTTCCAGCTGTTCGCCGGACACGTATCTCTTTCACAAGTTTTCAGTTTGAGGCTCGGCGTTGCTGGGAAGTTTCAGTTCGGAGTTCGAGAGCAGCCCGCGTGGGTGAGGAGGGAGAGGCAGTTGTTGACGGTTCGGTAGCCAAGAAACCAACTGCAAGCAACTGACACGAGTCTGTGCGCTACCCGTCCCAGCCCAGACTCTCCCCTGCGTTACGGCCACGGGGAAATCCCCAAAACATCACCAAATCTGAGGACGCTTTGGACTAGGCTACTTAAAATGTTGAACAGTGATGATTCTTTATATTATGCAATGTGTGATGGTAATGACTATTATGGCAATGACATTTGTTTATTTATTGTTTGTAGGCTATTTGCAGAACACGGGATAAGCACTGATAGCGAACACAAGTTGCATATAAGATTAACTTTGAATTTCTAATAAAAATAAAATTAAAAATTATCATATAACCTTCTTTGGTAATAACACCTAAAAAAAACAAAACAACAAAAAACAACAACAATGCAGATCATGATTTAAGATTAATTTATCATCTTTCTTTTTTTTTGTTTACTCTGCCTGACCTGGTGAAAACGATTAAGCATTTTATAAATAAATAAATAAATAAATAAGGTTATGGAAATAAGTTGATGGAAATGAGCGGTTATTTGTTATAAAAATACAATTGTTATAAATGCACACAGAATTAACACTGAAATACGCTCTTATGACAAAGTGTAATGTAGAATTGTCCAGAATTTAACACTTTTTGCCCGTTTTTTAAAATGGAAAGGTGATAATTGTGGATGGGGGAACAAAATTCTCAATTTCTAAGAATCTGAAAATATAACATTTCAGCGAAAACGACAAACAGTAAATTAGAAACACATTAAGTTTATTTTAACTATTCTTTAAACTAGATTTGTCTTTTTTTTCTAAAATTATCCTATGGAATAATTAAAGAATCGCACATGGCTTGCTTAACGCATTGGATGGGGCATGATGCTGATGGGACTGCAGGCGTGCAGGCTGCCGCATCATCTACAACGGCCCACCTTTCACACGAAGGGATGCATTTGATCTTTAATCCATCCAGTGGTACAGTCATATCTTGAGCAAAACGAAAAAGCGAAGCTCAATTCAAAGAACTGATAACAACAATTACCTGAGAATAGTCGTTTGATAAGCTCCTTTCCGTGTCGAGAGTCTTGGTTTCAAAGGAAAACAGAGAGGGGTCCTCCTGAAAGCCGTCGGACAGTGAGGGTTTGAGAAGCGAGAGAAAGTCATCTTGTCCCGGTGCGAGCGCAGCGCTCATCGTAAGAAGCGTAGCGGCCATAAAGCCGTGGATGTGACGGAGAGAGGGTCCGCAAGATGTGTTTTGATAGACGTTGAGGAAGGGGAAGTGAGTGTATGGTGCATGTAATGATACCCGTGCGTGTATTGTGCGCGCGCTTTTAGTAGCAATGTCCCGTTCCGCTTCGCTCTGTTCCTGGAGCTCCGGGATATATGTATAATCGCTGAAAGGGCGGGGCCTGACAGGGACTGAGAAAGTGAGACGGCTACACCTTTACTACTGCTGTTACTGTAACAGCGCAACAAACCCGTCAAAACAGAGAGTTAAATCTGCCTACCCCTTTAAGTATTTAATTTAGCATTTAAATAATTGTAATAATAACGGCAGTGCAGCATAAAATCACAACTCACTATAAATAGTAATTGTGTTCGAATTGTATTCATTATTTTTATCGGTTAATTCAATGTGCATTTTATGATAAAACATTCTTTATTTTATTTAATACAAAAAAAGTATGCTAGTACAAATAACTAGCTACAGCTGAGAAGTAAATAGCCAATAACAAGTCGTAAAACCGGATCTTTTTCAGGGAAGTCGAGTACCCGAACGAAAGGCTCTTGTGAGTCGGTTCTTTTAAGTGAACCAACAACATACAAGAGGTCAGGGTTGTCCGATTCCCGACTCTTAAGAGCCGGTGCTTTTAATGAATCTAAAACACTTATGAATCTCTTACTGGATCTGTTAGTCCCTTACAGAACGCAAATATGTTATGCTGTACTTAATTAGGCTACACATTATGCCATTCGCTGTAATCAGTGGCATTGTTTTAATGAATGCAGATTTCACATTTAGGCCTACACTAAATTGGTAGGCTATTAATGCCAAATTCTATTGCATTTTTGTCGCCTCTAAAAATGTTATAGGCCTACACAGTTTGCAAGCACTTATTTTACTAATTATTTTATGTATTATTATATTATTTCTGATTTGTTATCCGTTTTGTTAATCTGAAATCTAATCTGAGATCTCATCATGTGGCAACCGACTGCCAAGAGCAGTCAATGCAATCAGATTTTTAAAGACGTGTCAGCATATCTGCGTTTACTGTTTCCAAAGCTGTAAAATAAGGCTTATTTACAAACGGTAAATGATCCCTATATAAAATAAATGTTTACCATAATTTCACATTTAAAAATAACACAACACGGCAAACAAAAATATCCATCTCAAGCAGACTGAATCAATGAAATGAATCAATAAAACACAGCTCACTGCTACCGCTGTTCTTGCAGGACATTCGAGCCTGTGGCGCGTAACATTAAGATGACACAAATAAGCGCGCAATGCGGCTGCGATAAAGGTATGCGCGCGCTCCTCTATTTTTATCAACAGCGTGTCTCGCGTCTTACGAATCAAAACGGAAGGATCCAGATCTTATTACCATCAAATGATACATACAGATATTGAGATATCTTTACAGGGTGAAGATTAAAAATGCTTATATTCAGATACTGTATAGCTACGTGTTGCTTATAACCTTACTTTACCTTACTTTAGAACCTTACTAGAACCTTACTTTAAAAACAAATTCACATGCCTGTTTGAATGATTTATTACCATTAAAATTCAAATTCATAGTTTGAGGTTCACATTTTTCATGGCTACACATCAAACCTGTGTAATAGGTCTTTTAAAAAAAGACTTTCATTCTTGGTTGCATCCCAAAAGTCTTAAACAAGTTGAACAAGTCTATTTAGTTTTCCGTTTGACTTTTCTGTACCATTCTGGAACTTCTTTATTGGTCTGTAAAAAAAAACAAAAAAAAAACATCATTGTTAAATCTCTTTGACCATTTCTTTGGACTTTGGTCTGAGTAAAAAATTCTGAAAAAGTGAATGTGAGTCTAGCCACAAGCAGCCCAAATAGAAAGCAAAAAACAACAACAACAACAAAAAAAACATTTTTAGCAGTTCAAAAAAATCTTTGAAATGTGTCCCTGTTTTATAGAGAAGACAAATTACTCTTCGAAAGGTTCTGTACATGGGTAGTTAAGCAAAACCTACGAACACTGTGGGTTTGGGATCATAGTTGTATTGCTCCTTGTCTGTGCCTTTTAAAGCTTTGGGTCTATGAACTGCTGTACCGGCACCATCGGTCTCAAGCTCAGGTAGGGATACAGACAGAGGCCCACCGTGCTGCTGTGAGCGCATGCTAATCAGGACTTGCTTCATCACAGACAGTTCCTGCAACAGAGTAAGAACAAATCAGCGGTAGCCTGAGAGTTAAAGAGCTTCATCCTATTGTTCGTTTGTTTCCCCTTCACAATGTCTAGGAAAGAGCCTGCAGCATCTGTGGTGCTTTGATTGCAGTCTTGTTTTGCCAGCAGTGCTCTATGCCCTTAGGAAGGGCAATTAATACTGAAACTACAAACACAAACATCCCATGTGTCCTGATTCCATAACATCCATACAATCGCATGTCATTTAAAACACTTATTTGCATATATATATATATTTTTTTTTTCTCCACACCTTTATTTCATGCAACAGCTTATAGTGATAATATCTGTCAAGTTCAGAAAAGGACAAATACAATAACAGCATAAAAGAAGCCCAAGCAACTTGTGCACTATATTCCAAAGCCAAATAAAATCCACTTCTAAAGCCATATAACAAATTGAAAATGTATTATAAACAAATTTAAATTTGAGTCACCATTGACTGAAAATCTTCCCTGAAAAGTACTGAAATCCAACTTTGGTCAGATTAAAAAAAAAAAAAGAAAAGAAAAAAAAACCCAAAAAAAAAAAAAAAAAAAACGTAAAAGACAAACAGCAGATAAAACAGTTAGTAAAATCCTCAGCTATCGGGTTATTTTACTAAAGATGATGATGGAGTAGAAGTTGTGAAACAGCAAGTGGACCGGGGCCGGGCACATGGAGCAGATAAAAATAGCGCCATCGTCCACACAGATTTTAGGTTAGTTTGATTATTAACTTGATGGATGACGTATTTGGCTTTTTGTGTTTGAACAAACTCTATATATTCGCTTAAGGTTTGGGAAATAACCCGGTAGAAAAATGTCAATCGTTTTGCGTGTCATGATGTAAGTTTAAACGCGTTTTAAGCATTGTGGTTTAAAAACAAATGGTTTTAAACTATTCATGGACATTAAGCAGCGGGGCAGAATTCTTGTTGGTAAATGTGCTCGTTAAGACGGTTTCAGCCTGATACGCGCGGCGCGCGCCTGACTAATCTTTTCGCGCCTTGTGCTTAAACGTTCAAATACACATAGTTATGTGTCAAAATGCCAGTCTTTGCGAGTATCCTCGTCAACACAGTCAGTTTTGTCTTACATGAACGTTAAAGTTTAAGCATGTGTAGAAGTAAGCTATATGAGATCCTGGCATTTAATGATCTTCACCCAAAAATGAAAATACTGTAATCATTTACTCACCCTCAAGTTGTTCTAAACCTGTATGAATTTATTTGTTCTCCTCAACAAAACAGAAGATATTTTGAAGAATGTTCATAACCAGAAAGTTTCTGGTCCCCACTGACACCAATAGTGGTTTTGTTTGTTTGTTTGGTTACCAGTATTGTTCCAAATATATTCTTTTGCGTTCAACAGCAGAGGGAAACTCATACCAGTTTAGAACAACAACAGAATTTTCATTTTTGGGTGAACTATTCCTCTAAAGCAGCCTAATATAGCTGCTGTTGCCATTTGTGTCAATATTGTAAATCAAACATCAGAAAGAAAATTACTTGCTGTCCTTGACTGAATCACTTTTGTAAAATAAGTAAGAATTAATGTATATTGAATTTATACAGTGAAGACTATTCAGTCTACTTGTACATTTACTTTATACATATAATATTTCTTATTCATTTTTTTCAGTTTTTCAAGTAGGTTGATTTCGTATGTATCTTTATGCTATTATAATTTGTGACTGTTTACTTGTTCAGTAAGCTTGGTTTTACTTGAGCTAGTATTTTTTTTGTGATATTGAAATTGGTAACAATAATTATTAAATTTCAGTGCATCAAAAAATGTTGATAGCATAAAAATCCTATTTATCATATATACCATTATCTAGAGTAACATGCTGCTGACGTAGAACACGCATGCGCTGCGCCTTGTTTACGAGCAGAGGAAAGCACGCGCATGCGTTGTGTTACTCTCGATAATGGCGGTAGATGGTAACTCGGGGGAGAAGAATTGTTGAACAAAGTTATTTTTGTTTTTTTGCACACAAAAAGTATTATCATAGCTTCATAAAATTACGGTTGAACCACTGATGTCACATGCACTATTTTGTCGATGTTCTTGGTACCTTTCTGGGCTTTGAACGTGGTAGTACCCTTGCTGTCTATGGGGGTCAGA